GTTTAGGGTTTAGGGTGTTTATATTTGTAGTTTTGGAGGGCAGTAAGTCTAAGAATTCGCCCAAACGGTCTTCGATTAGGGTTCAGGGATGGATGTCTCATAGCGATTGATCTTGGACTGAAGCTTGGGAAATCAGGGCTCATAATGTACCTGGCACTCTTGATGCCACCAGCTTGCCTCCTCGTCCTCCTCTTCGCCTCCCTTGTGGTAGCCTGGTCGGATGCTTTGGCTCCAGGAAAAAGGCTAATCAATATAGGGGCCTTAATTATGGTTTTGGTATATTATACTTGACTATAAAAAGGAGCCCCAAAAATAGTATTGGTAATGATTTAGGCCCTTATGTTATGCTGCTCCCCTCCAAGGCCTAAGTCCTTGAACGTCCCTCAACCCTTCTACCCTCACCCGCAAACTCTGGACGGCCTGAACACCTCAGCAGAGTTGCGGTAAAAGTGGATTTTCTCGTACCATGGGCACGGCTGATGGGTCAGAAATGCGTGTCTGCCGGGGCCTTGAGTCTAAACACCCCACTCCCGCTCCCTCAGCCTACACGTAGACTCAACAAGCCGCCGCAAGAAAAAACGATCGATTGTGAATAATTCTGTTAACACTGCTACGGCTATGGTGCATTAACAACAAAAGTCATGGAAACCGGGCATGGTACTCCTAGCAGGCAAGTCGTGGCAAAACTGTGGCTTATCTTGCTTAACTTTCCCCTAAAACCCTCAACCCATGGCCGCCAAGGCAGTTTAGTGTTTAGGGGTTTAGGGCTTAGATTGTCGGGTTTCGGGCTCTAGGGGCGTACATAAGACCACGATAGTGGCATTTAAGTCTGCCTGAAAGCGTGATGGACCCTAAACCCTAAACCCTTAACCCTAAACCCTAAACCGATGGCTTCAAAACGTCAGATTTCTACCGGTCGGCGTATCGGCCACACAACCAGTTCGTGCCCACAACCTTCACGAAGCCTCGCAAATCTTCAAACCCAAGCCCAATGTGTATATATATATATATACATATCTATGTATAGTTTAGGGTTTTGGGGTTTAGGGGTTTAGGGTTGAGGGTTGTACATATACGCATATATATCTATATCTATATATATATATATGTTATGGGAATGCTACCCCAAACAGGTACAAGGTTGCGGGCGCCACAAACACTTCCTTGAAACCTGCGTCCTTCCAGAAAGCCAGATTCTCGCAAACAGTGGGTCGGCCCCAACGAATATGGGTTTAGGGTTTAGGGTTTAGGGTTCAGGCTCGATAACCGGTGACACTTAGATTAGGCCGAGCTTTGCATCCTGAAACTGGGAGATCACACGCAGGCTTCGGGCTTGCTGCTGAGGAGGCTTAGGGTTTAGTGTTCAGAGGCATGCTCAGAGGAAAGTCGCGGCACTATCTTCATGTGTCGCATTAGGGTTTGTGATCAAACCGGGAAATGTCAACCTTCACGCCCAGCCGCCGCAGTTCAAGCAGCTCGTTCGCCAGGAGAAGTTTAGCACAGCACACCGAGGGCAATCCCAATCACCTGCGGGCGACTGCCAGGGTTTACCAACAGTAACGAACCAGATATACGATAGAAAACTATAACACACTCCAAGAGGCTGTGATATACTATGAGAGACTAGGATATACTATAATAAGCTACAGTATACTATAACCGACTATACAAGACTGTAATATACTCTTACCCCAAGCCCAAAATCCTCAACCAAGTCGTACCGGGGATCCTTCACAGGGAATGCTCGATGAAATAAAGAAATCTTGAGCCCTTCGGCTGGTTTGGGGGATCTAAACGATCGGGATGGTGATTTGGGTTTAAGGGTTTAGGGATTGGGGGTATAGGGTTTAGGGGTTTAGGGTTTAGGGGCATTTGGGCACTGATCACCGGGACCGCGATTATCCCCAGTGATGCACGTGCTACCGCTTCTCGCGCCTTTGCTCTCGCATGTGCTGGAGCAGGACTCCAACTTCAGGTGCAAGTATGAAATACTATGATATACTATGACACACTGCCATATACCATAGTATACTATAACAGACTACAACGTACTAATACTATAATGTACAACAGCTGGAGTTGCAAAGTGCAGTAGCAGTACACCACAACGGCAAAGGCATTGTGGTGATGCGGTACCGCGGCCAGACAAACACAAATAACGTGACTATAGGGGGTTTAGGGGTGTAATTTAGTATGACTGCATAGGGTTTTGCGGTAGATTATAGTATAAGTGTTAGGGTGTTGGATGCATTACTTATGACTACAGTTCGAAAGGGTTGCCGAAAACCCAGTCCCTGGTCCTAACTCTAAACCATGATGCAAGGGCCTTAATAATTAGAATAGGGTTTTGGGGTATATTCAGCTTTAACTATAATAAGGACCCCCCCCCCGCCCCAAACAAAAAAAAAAGTTTGGGTACTTATCTAGGCCCCTTGCTAAACCCGAAGCTCTGAACCCTGACGGCTTTAGGGTTTCGATAGTATAGGGCTTATAGGGTTTAGGCTTGAGGGTTTATGGGGTTTAGCATTGTAGGGCTTGGGGGTTAGGGTCATAGGGCATGGCATTTAAGGTTTGTGGGGCTTAGGGTTTGGGGTTTAGGGTTTAGGTTTAAGCTTTAGGGTTTGGGGTTTGGGGGGAGACACATCATAGCAAGTATGACAGTTATAGCATGGCTGTCATCGGCATCATCACTGCCACCCTCGCCATCATCACGGCCATCACAGTAATAGTAAGCTCAAGAACACAAACATTGTTCGATTCTCTTGATCACGGTTCGAAGAATCTGAAACACTTCCCGCAGTAAGGAAGAAGGAGAGAAGTGGTAATAGAGGGGCCTTTATAACTAGAGTAGGGCTTTGGGGCCCATTAGACTATAATTATGATAAGGAACCCCAAGATAGTGTTTGTAATTATTTAGGCCCCTACATTAATTACCCTAAACCCTAAACCCTAAAGCCTAAACCCTAAACCCTAAACCCTTAACTGGGTTGGCCTATAAGCCCTCTGAAAAATATGTATATAAAGGGTCCCTTATAAACCCAAATAGGGAAAATAAAGAATGTCCCAAAAGCCAACCTAGTTAATAACCCTTAACCAACCAGGCCTTCTCTGCGCTCCACTTTCGAAGCGACCGGCGGCGGAGGGTGGCGCGGCGCCGTGACCGGTGGAGGAGGGTAGCGCGGCGCCTGATGCTAGGGTTTAGGGTTTAGGGCTTAGGTTTTAGGGCTTTGGGTTTAGAGTTTTATGAAACCTGCCCGGACTCTGAACCTAAACCAGAAAGCCAACCGCTTCTGACAACTTGACAGCAGTGAATAAGCATAAATGCTGGAGACATCTATAGACCAAACGCAACACAACCATGCCAAAAGCAAATCGTGACGGGTTTTTAGAAGAACCTTAGCCTGACGGTTTCTGTGGGTGGACTACACCGGTGCGTAGGTTGTTCAGCGCCACAGCTCCTAAACATTCTTGGGCCCAACACCCCCGAAGCACCAGGTAGGCACTTTTGAAGGTTTAGGGCTTAGGGTTTAGGGTTTAAGGTTTAGGGTTTTGGGTCACAAACCCACGAGTTGCAACCGTAACCTCTAGATCATGTAGGCACTGTTGAAGGTTTAGGGTTTATGGTTTAGGGTTTAGGGTTTAGGGTTTAGGGTCACAAACCCATTAGTTGCAACTGTAACCTCTAGACCCAGCCGAGGTACATGGCAGCGAAAACCTCGGCGCAAGAGCTTGGGATCTGGGTTTCTGGTTTGGGGTTTTGTTTAGGATGGTTTAAGGTATCTCTGGGGAGTAGTCCGAGTAGCAGAAGCAGTGGCTGGAGCAGTAGTAGTAGTAGTAGTAGTAGTAGTAGTAGTAGCAGCAGGAGTAGGAGTAGTAGTAGTAGTAGTAGTAGTAGTAGTATGCAGTAGCAGCAGCAGTGCTAGTGGCATAGCAGTTAAATTGCCTTCGGACGTCACTGAACCTGCTTTACGCTCCCGTGCACCTGAAAATGCTGATGGTAGAACCCGATCGAAAACCTCCAGACAGCCGTGGGCAGAACGAATCTGTGTTCATTATCGCCCCTCGACCCCTCGAGCTCCATGCAATGAGACATCGCGAACCGTTTGCAGGCTTGCCGTTGGTTTCGCTCGAAATCCAACAGTGGGCAGCACACGGGGTGCAAGAAACTAATGTAGCGGCCTACAGCACTATTTTGGGGGGCCAAATTATGATCATAGTATAATTATTAGGGCCCCTAAATCCTAAACCCTTATAGTAGCCCTTATAGAACCCGTTAAGGAACCCTTTAAAGGAACCCTATGAAAGCCTATTCTAAGCATCAAGGCCCCTATATTACTAGCTGGCTCTGCTAACGCTGCTGCCAGACTTCCGCTTGGCGCTACAGCATAGGGCTTGGGGTTTAGGGTTTAGGGTTTGGGGTTTAGGGTTTAGGGTTTGGGGTTTAGGGTTTGGGGTTTGGGATTTAGGGTTTCGGGTTTGGTGTTTAGGGTTTCACAACAAGTTCGAATCCGCAAGGTTTGTTCATTTCGCCCCTTGAGCCCCAACCTGGCCGCAAAACCAGAATGGGAGCTAGGATTTGGGGGGCCCTTGGGGATATAGATCCTCTCAATACGGTCCCTTTTAAGAGTGCCAAAAGTAGGGTTCAGAAGGGGTACCCTTTAAGCGGTACCCCTAATAATACTACCTACAGAAGCTCTGTTGCTTCATGCCTGCATGCAGACTTACAGGATCTTACCTGCATGCATACTCCTTGCGTTTGCATTATGCCCACACTGTACACTATAAAAATAAAGTGTCCCTTTTTTGGGGGGCTGAGTACCCTAGCCTAAAAAAGGTTAACCCTTTGAATTATAGTAGCATTATATGCCCCAAAGGTTAAAGGTTACCTACTCAGCCCCTTGGACCCTGTTCCGGGTCAGGGAGCAACTTTCGCGCCGAGCGAAATTGACAGCTCCGCACTCTTTGCAGTCCCAGTCGCCAGGCTGTCCTTCTCGCAGGGGTGAAGGATCTGGGGGTGTAGGGTTTGGGGAGTTTGGGGTCTAGGGTTTAGGGTTTAGGATGTGGGGATTAGGGTATTATAGGGCTTTAAGGATTAGGGTATAGAGCTTTAGGGATTAGGGCTTAGGGCTGTGGGGTTTAGGGTTTGGGGATTAAGGTATAGGGCTTTTGGGATTAGGGTTTCGGGCTTTAGGGATTAGGGCTTGGGGCTGTAGGGAGTAGGGTTTCGGGCTTTAGGGTTCAGGGTGAAGGATTTGGGGGTTTACTGTTTAGAGAAGTGTGGAGTCCTGGGGTGTGGGCTGCACTTCTTGCGGTTTAGGGTTTATAGGGTTTAGAGTTAGGGTTTAGGGTTTAGGGTATTGCAATCAACGAAACCCTAAGATACCTCTGAATCCTAAACATCTACAGCCCTGACCCGAAAACCCTACAAACACCCTGCAGCCCACGGCTTCTGACCAAGGAACTTGCTTCAAGCTACAATCGTAGGGGATTTTATCTTAGGCTTCTAACCGTGATGCTCAGTCAGGGTTGAGAGCATCTGGCTCTTGGGTTTTAGGGCCATCCACTAGAACCGTAGTCGCAAACCAGACACAGTAGGCAACGAGTTCGTAAACAGGTAAGGGTTTCTGTAAAGGGCCCTGCTTAAAGAACCTAAACGGGCACGGTTGGGGATCAATGCAGAGCCTCAAAACACAGAACACGTCTGCAGGGTGTGTGTGTGTGTGTGACCGCTGAACTGTGCAGGGACTACAAAGGGATGCTAGTGCTCATGACTCAGGCCTCTTCTATGTCCTGACTTATTCACTCTGGCTGAACCTGAGAAGCTCAATCTTCGGTACATCCCGCAATCTACAAACCGTAGCTAAATGTTCAGGCTTGCGGTTCCGGAAAGTTTCAGTACTGTCCATAATATGTTCGTCAGCTCTACGGTGTAGTCACGATTTCCTCAGGCCTAAACCCTACAACCTCAGGCATACATTGTTTGCTTCACCGTTCACCTGTTCGTGCCTGAAACCTTGAAACTTGGGGCAGGAGCTTTTGAAGCGAAGGACCTGGGCGCCGTGAATTTCCCAGACAGCCCCCACCCATAAACACACAAGACAAAGTTGAACTTTAAACCCTAAAACCTCAAACCCCTCAACCCAGGACTTTCAAGCTAAACAAACCCTAAACCCTAAACCCTAAATCCTAAACCTAAACCCTAAATCCTAAACCCTAAATCCTAAAATCCTAAACCTAAA